TTATTAAATTAAAGTATAATAAAATAATTAAAATAATATAAAAAGTTAATTTAGATTATTCTTTATTTAATATAAAATATTATAAAGATTAATTAAAGTTTGAATGATCTTTATTAGAAATAATTATTAATTTTATATTAATATAGCAATTTTTTGTATCAGATTATAATATATTAATTATTTACAAGATTAAAATAATAAAATTTAAATAAAAATAATATAATAGATAAAATTTAAATAAAAATAACTTAGAAAAAAATAACTTATAAAATATATAATAAAAATAAAAATTTATTATTAAATTATATAATTAAATATAAAATTTCTAAATTATAAAATATGAAATCATAAATATAAAAAAATAAAATATAAATAATAAAATAATATAATAAAAAATTAAATAAAAATCTTATAAGTTTATATAATTAATAATCTTTTTATTATTATTATAGTAATAAATATATTTTTTATATTATTTTAATTTTAATTTTATATTATTAAGTTTTTGAATTAAAGATAAATATTTTAATTTTTAAATAATATTTTATTAATAATTGATTTATTATTATAATTTTGAGTTTAGTTTTATTATTATATTAAAATAAAGTATCTATTATAAAATAATATAATTTTATATTTGTATTTATATTATTATTAATTCTTTTCAGTTTTATCTTAGTTATTATTTTTATTCTTTTTACTTTATTTTCTTTTATTTTGTACTTTTATACTCTTTATTTTCTTATTTATTATATAATATCTTAGATTTTTTCATTATTATATAGTAATAGTTATAGAATCTTAAAAATTTCTTTGTTTTATAATCTATATTCAGCTCATAATTTTATATTTGTCTTTTATAATTTTGCTTTACTTTTTAAATGAATAATTTCATGCTTATCTATATTCAATTCTATCAAACTCAGTATAAAAGAGTACCTATAACAATATTATTATTCTATTTATCTAGATGTTACTATTTTCATATAATTTTTGATTTCTAATTAACAAGATATTGAAAATATTCATTATAATAGTCTTGAAATGATATAAAAATTTCATGAATTTGCCATAATCGAGCAGGAAAACTAGTTGAAACTTTTGAAAAATAATTTTTGATATTTTGTGAAAACTGATTATATTTTATTGCTACACTTTGTTTTTTAATGGATAAATGTTGGATATATAATATAAATCAAATATCTAAAAAATTCAAGTGAGAAATATTAAAAATTTTGATATAAAGATCCACTTATTATTCAAAAGGCTTGATTTTTACAATAATTAAAATCGCACTGCAATAATACTTTACAATTCATTGCTTTTTATAAGATAACAATGATAAAAATTACAAATAGCTCAATTGATGCTCTCAAATAAAACCATATCGAAATATTGTAAAATTACCTTTTTCGAATTAACATTATTGGATCATAAACTTAGTAGAAAATGTTGAGAAAATGTACGAAGTATGAAGGTTGAAAGCGCAAGAACTCATTAAATATGTAAAATCTCAACGAAAAGTAAAAGTAAAAAAATATCAATTACATATAAAGTATGACATTGAGTTACATGTATTTCATAAAAACTTTTTAAGAATAATAAGGTATTAACATTTGACGGGTACACTTATTGCACTTTGTGGATTGGGACTCATAAACCCGCTTTGTCCGTCCGGAAAGTCAACCCGAACCTGTGCAGTTGCTACATAATAACTATTAGGATCACATCCCGCTCCTGGTACAGCAAATGACCCCGGTTTTCCAGGGAGAACTTTAAACTTGCTAGGATTTTGGCTCATGATTGTTATACGATTCCATCCGTTTCTTTGATACTGGTACATACCATATGTATATATAGTAACTGTGGACGTAACATTACATTTCACTATTAAATGGGAGTTTACATTTCCTGGATTAGTGTGAGATCCGTGGATGGAGTCAAATCTTCCTTCACAAATTTCTGTTTGCGCAAGGGTTGTATCTTTATTCAAGCTAAGGATGAGGATAAGAACAAGCTTATGTTTGGTTTCAATAAGTCTTTCGTGTTGATGACAAATGTTCTTTCGGTTTTAAGGCATTTCTTGCTTCTATTTATATGTATATTACAGGCGCAAAGTTGTGCAGTTGTCTTTATTAATGCTAGTTCTGCAACGGTAATCTCTACCTTTTCTTGCCATTAATTCAACAAAGTTCGCGCAGCAAATTGCAATTTTTGAGAGTTCAAACGCGATTTGCGCAATTTATTGTAGACCAACTTGTTTTAGAAATGCGTATGATAATTATCTCTGTTCTTGAAACACTGCATTTTGTATCCTTATCACAGAATAAATTATTTCTCTCCATTCAGCTGCAACATTGTGTTTGCGTTAGCAAATGTCATTGGTCTTGATTTTCCCATTGTTTGACCATAGATTTTGTTCATGTACCACAATGATACACCTGGTTGCATTTATACGGTATTTCTTACTATATATATTTTATCATTTTTCCGTTTCCCTCTTTGACACAAAGCAAGCAGGGTCACCAAAGAACAGTAACAATATTTATCCAAGAAAAGTATTGTCCGTATTAATTCAATCTAAGCAAGGATCCTATATTTCGTTGTACATGTACATGTATCAGTAGTAGTAGCGGCGTTCTACCGCCTTAATTCTTGACATAAAACTTGTTATTCATATTCTTACTAGATATCAAGGTGATCCTCGGCTTCGAAGTTTGGGTTTACTTACTATGCAAGTTGTAAAATCTCTCCATCAAGAGCTCGAATAAGAAATGCCAACAAAAGGATGAGTACATTTGAAAATAAACAGAAGAATACCGTAGTTTCGCGAAATAACCACTGAACTTTATTTCGAGTACACGCATGTGCGTTATTTCGAGACAAGGATCGATTTTCTGATTTTCGTACATCTATGGACATCAAATGTACTATTTGAAGGATTACCGTTTTTGTTTTTTATTTATTTTTTCACTCGTATTTATGTATGTTGATTTGCTTTACATTTTCAAGTCTCCTTTTTTGGGGAAATTTTCTTGTATTGACGAATACCCATATATATTAGTAAGATTAAATAAAAGAATGAAAAATTTATAATAATTATAATGTAATTTTATAAATATTTCTTGATTTGTATTTGATAATAATGGGAATT